CAGAGGCAGCTAACGAGCTGATCTTATGCGATGCCTCTTGCAATGATGCTGTTTCCATACTTAGTAACTTAGTTAAGACTTTGCACTGGCTGAAGGTTAGGGCTGGCTGTTCCTCTGTATGTTCATTTAGCATTTATAAGATCATTGCATTAAGAGATGGGAAAAAACATCTGAGCAGCAGACAGCCTCCTGACTGATCTCACATGTGCAGGCTTCAGGAACCTCTTCGTTTTCTCACAGGCTCTCAGAAAAAATGTGATTCAACAATCTCAATTGTTTACATGCATGGTGACACCATTCCCAGAAATAGACTTTGGTGCATGAAATATAGGCTTTACCAGACCCCAGAGGAAGCCAGTGGAAACAGTGGAATTTTCCCAATCTGCACTCTCTAAAAGCTCAGTATTCATAGCTACCTTCTTCTTCATCCTGCATTTAGGGAGACCCAGGTGCTCGTAGTTCTCTTTGTAAACAAGAAGAGGAAACCGCTGCCACTGAGGACTCCACCACTTGCCCGTCTGAATAACCGAAGGGGCAAAAATAACCTCCATCTGCAGTGCTGGAGAATGAAAGCAGAATGATAGCAAATGCTTCCAAAGAGCCCTGGCAGAAAGCCCAGAACAGCAGCAAGGACAGGGTGTCCTTCAGGAGAGGAGTTTTCCTCAGCACTGTGCTAGTGGCAGGGAATTGTTGGCCATGTATCGTGGTGACAGAACCATCACAGTCACAAGGGATCAGACCTAGGCAGTACTATTTCAGCCACTCAGCTATCCCAGCTTTGCACTTCTTTCAGTGCACTCATGCAGCGTCAGAAGCCACTAAATGAGGCTAGCTCTACCCACAAGCTCCAATTTTTGTATTATACAGGCACATGTTCTCAAAGTAACGGTTAGCCACCTCTCATTTTTCCTTCAGTTGCCCTTTTTCTCTCTTTCACACCTGTAGTGGAAATGCTAAGTCAGGGCTTGAAACAACGACTGAGCACCTGGTGGGAAGGCAGGTTTAACCCAGGGGAGCTCAGGTGCAAGCAATGCATTGGATGACTGGAAGGAGTGAGGCAAGGGTTCACCCCTTCCCAGACCTCATGTAAGGGTTGGAAGTGGAGGCAAGGGTATTTTGCTGGAGATCCCTGTCTACCTGAAACTTTCTAAGGGTAAGCAGATTTTTTTTTTTTTCCTTTATTTCTGTGTCTGCAGCTTCTGCATTTGGGTTTATTGTTACTTGCTGCAGTCTAGGACTTTGCTACCCTGCTACTGTTGCTGTGCTTTCCATCACATTATAGCATTACAACTCCCAGTGGTAGGCAACAAGACGCAAGTGAGCAACCACTTCAACTTTATTTAAGTAGGGCAGAGGATTTCCAAAGCACAAGCTACCTGCTGTGAGCCTGACTCCTCTGCATCACCACTGGAGTGCAAGGACAACTAGAGAAGAACGTCTACTCTTTCCCTTCCATTAATGACAAGTTAGTGGAGGAGATAAATGAGCTTTCTTGCATACAAATGGTGCTGCTCAGCTTGGCTAGGTTGCTGCTCAGCCCTGCCAACAGCTAATTCCTTCAGAACAAGGTGTATGTAACCCTGCGGGCAGAGCAACCTTCATGATTTCCATTTCCCCTGCCCCCAACAGTTAGTGGCTGGCGCTGTTAATCCTCTTTAATGTAACTATGGATAGTCATGCAAACCTTTAATCCGTCTCAAACCTACTAACCGTTCAGCCTGCTTTGGCTGGAGTTCCGGGTTTTGAGCTGTAAGCAAGCATTAGGCAGCTTGCCTTCCTTTACATTCCTCATTTGATTGTTCTTCTTGTGAGAAACTTCCAAGTGCTTCACCATTACATTTGAGAGCTATTTAGGGTACTGCTGCTGTGTTCCCCTTTCTGTGGTGACCAACCCCTTACCCAATGTGTTCAGAGCCCATTAGTTTTGTAGGTGTGGATCCAACACTGTGTGGATCGTCAGCAAGATTGAAAGGGAAGTCAGTCCTAAAAAAAACTAGCCAAACTAGCCAAGGACTGAGATTCCAAAAGTTTCTAGGACCCCTCCCAGCCATGGTTTTCCTCTCTCCCTACTGTGGTCATTTCAGCATTTTAAGTCTTGTATGCCAAGCTACTTTGGTTCGTTTGCTGCCAGGCTTGTTTCGCTCTGTTATTTCAGAGGGAAGAAACTGTTGAGTGTCCTGGGCAATCATGTTTTGTTATTTTATACTTGCAGCCTTCCTGATACGCTTCTATGCTGATACTGGCTGTCATTGCTTTCCATGCTGAGGAAGAACACATTTGCTGATACAGCAGAAGCTTTGAGCCACTCATACCTGCTCAAACAAGTTTTCCTGTTTGCTTTCCATTTGCAAACAGAGGAAGACCATTAAATGGCTTTGTGAATCTTACTCACAGGAAACCAGCCAAGCACTGAGCATCTGGGAACTATTTTTCCTTCTCTAAACCACTTCCCTGGAAAGGTTTGACCACATTATTAATGCTCCAGAGCTTATATTTGCATTTATATTAAAGCTGCTCCTTCCCATCTTGATTCCCTGCTGCTTGTGGGTGTAGATGTTCTGGAAGATGGTACCCCTCTCTTTCTCAGCTCGACCACTTCTTTTTTTTTTTTTTTTTTTTTGCTGTGGGATGCTTGGCTGATGTCGCAGAGCTGGGAAGAGAGCCAGCAGCACGATGAGCTCAGCCTCCCTGGATTGCAGCTGCGCAGGAGAGAAATGCTGTCCAGCAGGTTGGAGGGCTGTGGGATGCAGCATCTTCGCTCCCAGTGTGGGAACCAGTCAGGTCGGAGGCCCAGTAGGAAAAGAAACCATGGGAGCTTCTCCCTCCTTCACCCCTCTTCTCTCTGTTGTGAGGCAGCGAAGCCTGGCTGTGAGCAAGCAACAGAGAGGTGGCACACAAAGTTCAGATAGCCACTGCTTGGATTTCTCAGCTGGGGTGAGGAGCTGGCATGCTCTAAGCATGACTAGTCTGTAATATATAGATGGTTGGGAGTGTGAGAACGCAGTTTTATCTTACCACCAGGCAATGAAGACATTCCTCTCAAAGGCCAGCTCATGTTCTTGCACGACAAGCAGGAAGCACTGCCATTCTCTCCTGGAGCTCCAGCTCTGTGAGAAAGGTGAAAAAATCAAGGCTAGGACATACCAGATCTTTGCTGTTTCCAAGGATGGTTTATCTAGAACCGCACTTTTCTTCTTGCTTTTTTTCCCTCCTGCAATGTAAAATTTAATTTAGTTGGGGATACCGTTGGCTGTAAAAGCAACTTTGATTTCAGCTGGCAAAACCCAGTCTGACAGTTGGCTTTACCTTCTCAAGCAAGTGCCACGCCTCTTGGCATACAGCCACAAGTATGGGGATTACTTGTGTTGGCCCTAATAGTCTTCCCTGCCAGTAATTAGAGCTCCCATCCAACTTTAAAATTCCAGGTATCTAGGTGTTGTTATCCTTGGGGAAGACTGCTTTGGAGTTCACTTTAAAGTTCCTTATTGACTTTGAAAGAGCAACTTCCCTATTTACTTATGTTTGCAAACAAACGAGCTGGGTTTTGTGCAAACAGAATGAACCACGCTTCCCTACCGTTCCTTTCTGCAGCAACAAAGGATGTTTTTGCTTTCCTTAAGGTGTAGAAAGTTGGCTGAACGACCACAGGAACAGGAGTGCGTAGGAGGAGCTCGGAGAGGAGATATGGGGGCTGAGAAGGACTTCTTGAAAGTCAAAGGAACAGCTGAGTGCTGAAGGTGAGGATAGGACACAAAGTAGCACCCCCAAGATTTGCCCCTTTCAAGTCATGCCATAGCAGAACAGGCTTTTCCACGCTTTGACTAGTCTCTATAACAGCTCCACACAGAACTACATGTATTAGAGCAGCTAATGCTCTCAGCAGCCAGCATGGAGTGCATCAGTTTTATAAAGATGTATGCTGCATATACATCATTTTCAACTATTTCTTCACATAGTCATTCTCTCCCCTCCTACACATCTCTCCATTTTAGGAGTAGAGACAAACTGAATAAGAGGGCAACCGGTCCTTGAACTGTTTTATTTACCACTTTTGGCTGCAAACAGTTGAACTGATCTTATTACAAGAAATCCCCTCCCATATGCTGTTAACACAGTTTCCAGAACACATACTTTAGTATGTTCACTATTTCCCTGTTTGGACAAAGTACATCTGTGTGACCTTCCCTTCCATGCAGACACAATGGAAAGAACAGAACACAGGTGGTGCAGACTTAACGATGCACTGGGTGGATACCAAATTCCTTCCACTGCTAACATCTGAACCAAGCTACTTAGACTCAGGAGTTAGTTCTAACCAAGGGTTCGTATTATTAGTACTTGTCTCTTTTTTTTATCTAAAGGGAGAACACTTCCCATTTGTTTAAGGAAGGGGTGGGAAGGGGCAGAGAAAGAGCTCCAAAAAGCACGTTTACAGTAGTTTACCAAGGAAGATCATCTGGAACAACACTCCCATCTGCTGGGCCATCTACTCATTGCAGCAGGGAATTTAGCAGTATGAAGAAAAAAAAAAAAAAAAAACACCAACAAACTACACAAAAACCCCATCTCTTCAATCCAGCACCACAGCCTCTGGTTCAGATGATTAGATTGAGAGCTGACTTTTGGGTCACAAGCATTCTTGCCTACAGGAGCTGGCAGCATCCAGCAGCAGTGCCCTCCTAGGGCAGCTGTAACCTCAGAAGAAAAGCTTGGGCTGAAACATGAGAAAGAGCTTTCTCCATTTCAGACATCTTTCTTGGAGAGGGGTGATTGAGCAGGCAGAGCAGGAGTCATCTCAGTTCCAACCTGCACTCTGAAAGCCTGAGCATGTAGGAGAGAAGATTAATACACATGTCAAGAGGAATCAGAGCAGGGACATTCACACAACTGAGTCATTCTAGTGACAGGAACGCCTGGATCAGAACAATGATCTGGTCTGTCTTCTTCAATCACAGCTACTCATAACAATCACTATCACAAAGGCAAAGACAGGCAGCACCTGTAACAACAATTGTTTAATCGTACAATACATACAAAATTTTTTACAATGTCAGAAAAACCTGACAGATGTTATAATGACAGAAACTGCAGGAGTACTAGGATTTCAGTCTTTTGAAGCATCCTTCCCTCTTAATGATTTACTTCTGCTGTCCAAAACATATCTCCATTGAGTTGGAGACTGGCAGCAGATGCCTTACTGAAGAACAAGATTTGTTTTTGGATTAGTCCACCTTTCTATGTCAAGAACATGCAAGACATGCTGGCTGAAGGGAGGTAATGATAAGGACAATGTATTGCAAAGACCAAAGAGAACCTCCATGGCCCCAGCAGTGAGTTCTGGACAGGTGCAGTTATTCTGCAAGTCTGATGCTAGTTTATTTGCTGACAAAGTGACAGATCTCCTACGTCCATTCTCAAACACGCTGAGGAAGTGGCCAGTCCTGCCTTCTGAGCACTCAGCTGCAGATGGACTGGAGCTGCAAGAGTTCCTTTCATGCTGTTTATGGGATTCCAAAATATTCTCTCTCAAATTTACGGAAGTCTTCCTCAGTAAAGACAGTGCCCTCAGGCTTCTTCTTTTCCTTCTTCTCTACAGGCCGATCTTTTGACTTTCTGCCTCTGTTCTGTGTAAGAACCTTCAGGAAAAACAAAAAGAAAAATAACATTCACTGTCATCTAGACCAAATCACAGAACATTTTTTGAGCTCACTTACCACACCCTTATTATTTGCTAGTACCCTGCTACATTCTGGAATGCCTCCAGAGAGGTGTGAGAGGCAAACATTATCTTACCCAAAGCAGGTCACTGGGACAGCAGCAAGCACCCAGGTAGTATTCAGAGCCAAAAAAGGAAGCTACTTTCTGATAACTCTTATAGAGACTGCAATATTGATTTTAACTCAAACTTTTTCTGAAACTGTAGCCTTCTTTTGCCCTGTGTCTCCATGAGACAACTAGAAAACCCAAGAAAATGGTAGAATTCCCCTGGCATTTTTTAATGTCATCCTTGCCATTTACAATCTCAAACCTGAAAAACAGTGGCCTAAATATAGTTTCTTTAAGTTAAAAGTGTTGTCGTAAAAACAGCCTATGAATCTAGTGGTGTTGCTACCTTCAAATCCTGGCTCAGAACTATTATTTGGGAAAGACCGTTGGTTAAATTTTCAAGTTATGAGAAACATAATTTCAGATGCTATGAAATTCCTACTGTGGGGGCCAGCAGCATGTCTGGTTCTCTACTAAAACAGCCTCTAGCTACAGAAGAGGAGAGTTCAAAGAACAGAAGGGAAGTCTGAACCAAGGCTTTGCTGTGAAATACCTTTAGTAACCAAGAGAAGTCAACAGTTACCAGATTATAACGAGTAGCTGTAAGAAATAAGATTCTAACCAGATTCTAACGAGAACACTGTAAGAAATAAGCTATCAACAAAAATTTAAAGCTTAGTAAGGTGTTTTGCTTGAGCACAAAGAAACGCTTCAAGGCCACTACCAGGCAGAAACTTAACTCTTTTGCACAAGGACTAAGCTGGAAGACCTAAAGATAATTCCCATTCATCTGTGCTCCTCAGAGGAAAAAAGAAGTGTCATCCTTACTTGTTGGGTTACAGCTCTGTCAGCAACGCATCGTCCGCTTGTCATGTACTGCAAATTCGCTCTGAGGTGATTTACAGCTTTCTTCTTGTGATACTCCTCTAGGTCAGAGCACAGTGAGACAAAACACATCACCTGATTGCCCAGGCAGTACCTGAAAGCTGCTACAAGGAGGATGGGGAGGGATAGCCACAGGTGATCCTGACAGGGGCTGCAGGATACCACGAAAGCACCTGGCCTGAGAGTGTAGAGAGCAATAAGGCCGCTCTTCGCTAGAGCTAAGCCAAGACTCACCTATCGCCGACTTCACGACTCTGCCCTTGATCGTAGCCTTGTTCTTCCCAGGCCCCGCCATTACCTTCCTCCGCCGGGCGGCTCCTGCCGGTCTGCCGCCATCACGCCCCTGCTGGAGTCCCGGCGGGGCCTTCCCCCGGCCTGAAAGACGAGATGAGGAAGGTTACCAGGGCCACACACTGCGACAATCCCCTCCTCCCCCGCCTCCGGCCCCTCGGGCCTACCCGGTGCCTCCAGTAGCTCCAAGCCCCGCCGTAGCAACGAAGCAGACATGGCCACACACCCCCGCCTTTCACCCACTTCCGGCTTACCCAACGCACTTCCGCCCTCTCCTGAGACCACTTCCGCCCTTTGAACAGCCATACTGCCGTCTTTCCCCCGGCTGGGCGCGCATGCGTGAGGGAAGCTGGGAGAGGGTTTAGGCGGGAAGGAAGGAATGCGGAGCTGTATTGAGGCTCCGTGCTTTGTGGAGGCTGCCTTGGGCCAGCCCTGAGCTGGCTTTGTGTACGGATGCAACACTGATGCCTGGCTTTCCTCTCTCCTGCCGGGCCTGCAGGCCCTCTGTGGTGTACCCTTACTGAATTAATGCATTGGGAACGGGCTTTTTGAGGCCCTGCTGTGGTGGTGATCACAGGGGAGGCAATAATTACCGGCTGAGAGGAAGGGGAGCATCCAGCAGCACTGTCACATTTTGTCGCTGTAAGGCCCCCCAAAGTGGGTTTAACTGTGCCCGGCTCCTGAGGCGCAGAGTTTTGCTCCGCCATTAATTGCATCTATTATTCAGTATTACTTTAGCGTGTTTATTTAAAGCTTGCCTCCCCCGCTTTTGCCTCTCCAGAGACTTGCTGCTAATGTCTGCTAAATTTAGCTATCATCTGAATAAAGCCTATTCAATTATAGCCAACGCTGGCAGTAACAAGCTGGTGCTGTAGGAGGAGAGAGGTTTATTCTCCCTCAGATAGAGTCCCATAGGGAGAGAGCGGTACAAGCAGCGCTCGTTGTTTCATATGGCAATGATCTCTAGTGGTGGCTGATAGCAGTTAATCTGTGGCTCATTAACAGGCATCCATTCTCTGCAGGTTGCTCTCCAGTCCCTGCAGATGTCACCTCAGTGCCAATCTTCTTATTCTTAGTTCTCTTTGGAGTCTTGTTGGATGGTTCCTGGCATCCTGTGTCAGTATTTGTCATTGTGATCGTGCAAATGCATCTTTCTGGACAAGACAGTCTCAGTGCTCATTCTTGGGAAATATTAACTGTTTACTTCCTGTTCAGTGTGTCACTTCTCACTTGTGATTTTCCTCTTAAAGAAGTCCAAACCACTTTTTTTGGCTAATTTGGGTGGGCAGTGGCTGGGTGTGTAGCCTGGTGTGGCTCTGGGCATCCTGGTATAATGGTTGATGACCCTGCACATAGCAGGGGGGTTGAAACTAGATGATCATCGTGGTCCTTCACAATCCAGGCCATTTTATGATTCTATGAATATTTCTCCATTTTCTTGTCTTCTGCTAAACTAGCAAAAACTGAGGCTGCTCAGCTCCTTGTTCTGTGCCGGGTTTGTCCCTGCAGTCATGTGAGTTAGCATATTTGTGAGGATGATACTGTGTTTTGAAAAGCAGACACTGAACAAGAAGTGATTTAATAGCCTGTTGCTGAAATAAAAGTGAGCATTCTAGCCTCTGACATATTTGTCCTTACTTGAACATTGTTCAGCATATATTTTGGTCAGATAAAGGATAGCTGCCAGTGATATGACTGTGGGGAAAGCATTTCCAATTATACCTTATCTGTCAAACATTCTCCTTTAGCCCCTAAGATAGAATTACAGGTTCTTTGTAAGCTGTTTATACACATGTATCACACAGGATAGCTTTTTCTACTAGTTAAACATGGCATTTACATCAATTAACTTTATCAGGCTCACCTGATGACATCATCACATGTGTTTAGTGTCAAAGCAGTGTAACCTTATAAATGTCTTATGAGGCCTCCTAATGCAAAAACATAATTGCCTACACTGCTAAACATGTTTTGATTTAACAAATTAATGCGTTACAAGCTGCACTGATTTATTGTCTCATTGGAAAACGTATGCCCTTTTCTATCTCAAAAGTAAGCCTCTGCAAACAGTATTGTATTTCTATTTCTGTTGCACCAATTAATAACGCTGTCAATTATGTAGGTCTCTGAGAAAATCTGAGTCCCTTCTTATTAAATATCTTCAGTATGAAGAAACCTTAATACAGGCAATGCCTCCTTTGACCAGCAAGGCTGAGTGCAAACCTGCTATGATTTTAGTCTGCAATTACCTGCAGGATAAAATTTAACAAGCGCATGGGGTCATTTTGCTGAAGAGGGAAGGCAAGATATTTTCTTCAAGTGCATTCACAGTCTCCTGCATTGGAGTCTGCTCAGGCTCTTGGAGCTAGTTAGAGCACTAAGAAGTTAAATAGGCGCATGCTTTTTGGTGAAATGCATTCCCCAGGTTTAGATCTGTTGCTGCCCCAGAACTGCACAAAGATCACCATCCGACATGAGCCATGGATTTTTTAACGCTTTGTGGAACCACGTAGCTATTATTAATACATTATATTTCTTCCACTTCTTTTAACAGGATCTGGCAGCCTTTCTCAGGGGATAATCATTAGTGTTTCTCCTAACTGCATTCTGGCTTCAGCTACGCTTGGTCTTGGCAGACATGGTGATAACAGCATTTGTCATGTCTCTGGGTGACTTTGGTACAGCTAATACCTGCCATACTCCTGCAGATATAGTTGCACATTCTTCCCGTATTCTTTGACTTCAATGGAAAATTATATTTACAATTCTTTTTTCCTGAAATGCTAAACTAGATCAGTTTATTGTCTTGTATTTTACTTGTGTTTGTATGTTCCTTTAAACCTTCACTGATGTAGAATTTAGGCATTTGGATCACATGATCTCATCTCCCACATGTCATAAACCATAAAATTTCCTCTGTTGACTTTAGATTAAGTCCACTAACCTGTGTTTGAGCAATCTGCTTTGTGCTGAGCACAGCATATAATACGCTGTATTTTTCTTTGCAGGAGCTTTGCTGGGTTTATCACTCTCACAATGAGGATGCATTCCTTTTTTCATCAAGGTATATACACTTAACTCTCACTTTCTTTTACCTGAATTACCTTTGAGAGCATATGAGAAGCCCCAGAAAATAACTTTTTTTCCTGACTGGTGCATACTTTGAAAAATGTAATGTCAGGAGACTTTGTGGCTACGTCAGTAATAAGTAAATAAATCAATAAGGAACTCAGTATTTTATTATACTCTTTAAAGGCTCTGCTCAAATTAAAATTTCATCCAAGAAAACTTCATCACTTTGTAATCTCTCAGAAATCAGTGCAGTTTGCTCTTTGGAACACTTTGGGGACAGAATGAATGTCAAATGGTATTCATTGAAATGTATAACATCCAAATAAATCGCTGTCTTAGAGCCTGAATAATCTAACTTGTGATGGCAAAAACTACAGGCGCTGCCTTTCAGATGGAGAATGTCCTTGCTTCTGAGAGTTAAGCTGTCTTCGAAAGCTTTCTGCTGCTAATGTTCATGTTTTATAGCTTTCTCTAAATTTCATGCCTCAGTGATTACCTGTGAGCTAGCTGGCTTTTCAATTACAAATAACTCAGCATACAGATCAGCTGAAGTTTTAAGTGACTTCCTTGTGTGGCCATTACAATTTTACTTTCTGCTTTATTTCTTCTGACATTGAAAATGGAAAATTTCCCTGTTGGAATAAGTTGATAAAGTTTCTGCTTCGTTTTGGAGAGACTGTTCTCCCTGTTATTCTGGGCTTTGGAAGATGTTTGAGATTATCATACATTTGGTCTGTGCCATCTTGTTACTCTGGTTAATATGATAATAAAATCATATTGCTGTCTGTAGCAGTTCTTAACAGCAGTTTGTGTGTGCTCTTTTTTATGTTCTAGCTTCTGGATTTGGGGGGTTACACAGGAGTCTCAGTTTGAAGGGATATTCTGAAGAAAGTTAGAAAACAGAAGCTGAGAGCTGCAATACAAGTAAGATGCAACAATCACAAGGATTTATTTAGTTTAGGACTGTTTTGAACATTCTTATAGTGTTGGGAAATGGGATCTTGATGTTTAAACACTGTGTATTGTTTGTGCTGACACACAGACCTGCATTTCTTTCTTCTTTCAAAATGAAACAGACTGATTTTCAAGTTGATCGATAACAGATTTTCACCTTTGCATGCTCTTTCACATGTGGGTCACGTAATGTGCTTTGCTTTAGACAGCTTCACCACATCCAGTGTTCTGTATTTTCTCTCCACAGCAATACATGTTGATGCCTTAATCAAAGCTGCTGTCATTACTACTTATCTGTGTTTGCTAACCTCAATGGTTTCTGTTGTGGTCATTGTTTCTACAAAGACCCACGGATCACTGCTTGCCCTGTACTTCAAGTACACAGGAACCTTTGTCCTTTAACTGTGTGATATGCCTTTGAAAAGTGATTTGACTTTCTGGCCTGCTGAGTTTGAACAAGTGCTGGACAATGCCTTGATTCATATCCCTGCGTGGGTAAGCTTGTAGTTACTGCAGATGGAAAGAAAGCCTTTTTTTTCTGATTTTTTATTATTTTGTCTTAACACAGTGCATATACCTGCCTCTTCAGTGCACTTTTCCAGGTCACTGAGAAACCATCTCTGCATTACATAGCTTCTGCACATAATATTGGCTCAAGCTGGGACTAAATCAGCTTCCCACTGGACTAGATGCTATAGTATGAAATGAGCTCTGCCTCCAAACAAGGCAGAGTTGTTATCCTTCCTATGTAGATGGGATAAGAAGGCATAAAGATTAAGCAATTCAGAAAATATCTGAGACAGGACGTGTTCATGCTAGCTCTGAATGACAATGTGGGGCCTTACCCTTTTTTCTCCCTCTTCTGCTTTTTACTCCAAATGGAAAGATACTGCCTTTGCTGAAGCTCTAAGAGCTGACTTTGTAGGCAGAAGTAATATTTTTAAGAACACAAATGTTGAATTTGGAAAAAAACACATAAATCCTTAGGGCTTTGATTGCCAGAAGAAAACATTTTAATAATAAATCTTGCATGCCAGTGAAGAGTTGGTGTCACAAGGTTTTTTTGTGGTCAGAAAAAACAGAATTTTGCATCCAGAATCACAAAAATTACAAACTTCCAGTACTCTCATACTCCTTACATGAAGGTAAAAATCTCATCTGAGGGACACCTGCTGCTGTTGCACACCTGCTATAGTGTCCCTCTCTCCTGCCCGCTGCTATCCTCA